TTTTTTCCCATTTTTTGTTTATTATTTATTTATTTTAACAGCCACGAACATACCTTAAATGTACAGCACATTGGGTATTATCACAAGGTATCAGGAAAATGGCGGTGAACACTTTTCACACATCTGTATGCGCAAACAATGACATGAATAGGAGCAATAAAATACCAGTTTATTACCCACTTTTTACACACTGGACACTCAGAGGCATGTCCTGAACTGGTTAATCCATCTATTGATCCAAATTATGATTAATTCCAACTTAGAAATTATGAGATTTGAAGAGATAGTCACGGAGCTGAAAAAACACGTCAGACCATTGTACTGACCTTTGACCCAAGTAACTATGAGTTCTTTAATGACCAAACTTGCATGGATGATACATATAAGGATGCATACTACCAGGCTTGCTTCGGATGCTGAATCTGTCCTACTTTTTTTGGATGAGTGAAAATATTAGTTTTTGGTGCATGTTTCATTTCAAATTAACTATGAGCCCTATAATGAGCAAACTTGCATGGACGATACACTTTAGGATGCACACTAATGGACTTGCTTCGGATGCTGAATTCGACATACATTTTTCAGATAATAGATCAGGTAAAAATTATGGTGCAGGTCTATTACCAAAAAACTATTAGGCTTATATAACATTGTAAAAACCAAACTTGCGCAAATAGTGCATCAAGAGATGAAAACTCTCAAATTTGCTTCAGATGCTGGATTTTGATTACATATGTATGAAGAAGAACTAGTTTAAATTTTTTATGTAGGTCTATTTCAAAGTATCAGATCAAAATTGCTTAAATATTTTCATTTTTGGAATGTACACTTTTTGTTGGTTAATTGTGTGGCTTTGCCTTACTTAAAGACAACATTTGTTGAGGTGAACTCTGTAATTTCTGATTACCTATTTTATTTTACATGTATGTATCCAGAATGAAACATTGAAATTGAATTTTCTGAAGTCTCATCTCTACTTACCAACTGACTTTTTTCATCAGAAGCCGCCTGATGGCTAACAAGCGTATTTTAAACTTGGCCTTACCTGTCTATTCCGTCAAATGTCCAAACTTTAAAAATGTCACTTTAGGGTGTCAATAGTGTTCTCCTTTTGTAATCAGAATGGTGTTTGTTGACACCTTGGCTACGTGCAGATATATAGCTTTAGGCCTAGCGTTGTATGTATTTGTCTTAGATCATATATATATAATGTGTTTGATATCAAATTTCAATTTACAAAAAATGTAGGTCTGCTTATAACTTTACTATGTGGCTTTGTAATAAAGTTTGCAAATATACAGGTATAAAACACTTTGTTGTACCTTTAGATATTTGTTTCTATGCATATCTATATGAAGAAAGTCTAATATTTATAATATTTTGCTGAGCGGGCATTAAAAAAAATCGAAATTGGTCCTTTTAGTGAGATTTTCAACTGGCAATCGGATGCTGGATGCTTACGTCACACAAAGAAGGGACCTGAATCACAGTTGCAATAGTGAAAAAACTGAGGTTTATATCATGGAAGACAATACAAGATTCATGTGTGTCAAATTATTGATATGTTAAAATAGAAGGTCCAACAAAACCGTTTATTGACTGTGTTCTCTGACGAGACACATGAAATTTAGACAACATCGAATTGATATATACATCATTAATCATGAATTAAGGAATTTTTTATCGTATGCATTTGTTCGTTAAAACTCAAAAAAAAAAGGTTAGGGAAACACTTAGGTTTGCTTCAATGTATAGAAAAAGTCTTTAATGATTTTCTCAAGAGCCACTGTGCTAGAAAAGCGAAAACTTATATGGAAGCAGTCTTTCAGAGGTAGTGTTGATTCCTAACTGTTCAAATCACGACCTCAGTGGTAGGGTAGGGCCATAACAAGAATTGAAAAGGGGGACATCTGGAAAAAAAACTGCATGACACTAGTTAGTCAGGTACACAATATGGCCCCTGGGTCACTTGATATTTGCTAGATAAATACCTTGAAATAGCATTACAACTGATTTTTTGGTCACATTTACAGAAAGAAGAGGTAGATTTTGCATCCAGACCAGAAAGTCATCTTGTAAATGAAAATGAATTTGGGAATTTCGAACAATCCATAAATGTGTATGAAGGTAAAAGGCCCAATGAATGTAACATCTGTATGAAAACATTTGATCATCTACATGAGTTACTGACACACATGAGTATACATACAGATAAAAAACCTTATAAATGTGATGTGTGTGGAAAGGCATTCAAACACCCACATGACATAGAGAGACACATGAGGACACATACTGGTGATAAACCTTATAAATGTGATTTGTGTGGGAGGAAAACCTACCAGTTATGTCACCTACATGTACACATGAGGACTCATATAGGTGAAAAACCTTATAAATGTGATGTGTGTGGGAAGGCATACAGCCAGTCACAATGTTTAAAGATACACATGAGGACACATGCAGGTGATAAGCCTTATGAATGTGATATATGTGGAAAGGCATTCAACTGGCCTGGAAATCTACAGAAACACATGAGGACACATACTGGTGAAAAACCTTATAAATGTGATGTTTGCGGGAAGGCATTTACACTGTCACATCACCTACAGAATCACATAAGTATACATACAGGTGATAAACCTTATAAATGTGATGTGTGTGAGAAATCATTCAACAGATTAAATAACCTACAAAGGCACATGTGGGCACATACAGGTGATAAACCTTATAAATGTGATGCATGTGAGAAAGCATTCAAAAGATTAAATAACTTGCAGAGGCACATGAGGACACATACAGGTGATAAACCTTATAAATGTGATGCATTTGGCAAAGCATTCAACAGATTGAATAACTTACAAGCACACATGAGGACACATACAGGTGATAAACCTTATAAATGTGATGTGTGTGGGAAATCATTCAACAGATTAAATACCATACAAGCACACATGAGGACACATACAGGTGATAAACCTTATGTATGTGATGTGTGTGGGAATGCATTCTCCCTCTCAGAAAACTTACAGAGGCACATGAGGACACATACCGGTGAAAAACCTTATAATTGTGATGTGTGTGGGAGAGCATACCCTCATTCTTATACTCTACAGAAACACATGAGGACACATACCGGTGAAAAACCTTATTTATGTGATTTGTGTGGGAAAGCATTCAACCTCTTACAAACCTTACAGAGGCACATTAGTTTACATACAGGTGATACACCTTTTCAGTGTGATGTTTGTGGAAAGGCATTTAAACTGTCACATCACCTACAGGAGCACATTAGAATACATACAGGTGATAAGCCTTATAGATGTGATGTGTGTGGGAAGGAATTCAGTCGGTCACCAGACTTAAAGAGACACATGAGGACACATACAGATGATAAACCTTATAAATGTGATTTCTGTTGGAAAGCATTCAACAGATTAAAAAGCTTACGGGCACACATAAGGGAACATACAGGTGATAAAATTTATAAATGTGATGTGTGTTGTAAAGCATTCAACCAGTCAAGTATCTTAAAGAAACACATTAGGACACATATAGGTGATAAATCTTATAAATGTAATGTATGTGGGGAGGCATTCGCGGATTGTAATACCTTACAGTCACACATGAGGACACATACCAGTGAAAAATCGTATATATGTGATGTGTGTGGAACGGCCTTCTGCCAGTCACATCATTACACATACTGGTGAAAAACCTTATAAATGTGGCTAATTCAAGATTAAAGGGACGTACTTTGAATAAATGCTAAATTTCTGGATGTGGTTTGAATAAATGTCAGTTTGACATATGAAAGAGAATCTCTGACATATATATATGAAAAAGGGAGTATGGATAAATGTGACATAAATGAAAAGGTCTTGATAAATATATCATATGAAAGAAAGGGTCTTTTGATAAATATGTCATATGAAAGAGGGAATTTGGATAATAATGACATATAAAAGAGGGACTTTTATTAATGATGGCATATGAAATAGGGAATTTGAATAATCATGACCTTTGAAAGAGGGATTTTGAATAATTATGACATATGAAAGAGGGTCTTTGGACAAATAAGACATTCATGTATGAAAGAGGTACTTTGAATAATTACGACACATGAAAAAGGGACTTTGAATAATTTTGACATATGGAAGAGGGACTTTGAATAAATATGACGTATGAAAAAGGGATTTTGGATAACTAGGACATATGAAAGGGGGACTTTTGAGAAATGGGACTCGGTGCACGTGGAGGGATTGGTTATATAGATTGACTATTTACAGTTTAAAGTCCCTCTCCAGAATATTTCACAGATATGGAGACGTCACCATTGCCAGTGAAGGGATGCAGATTTAGGCCTATGCTCGGCACTTACGGCCTTTGAGCAGGAAGGGATCTTTATCGTGCCACACCTGCTGTGACATGGGGCCTCGGTTTATACGGTCTCATCCGAAGGACCACCCCATTTACTCGCCTTTTACGACAAGCAAGGGGTACCGAGGACATATTCTAACCCGGATCCCCACGGGGCGACTCGGTGGAGTGGTGTAGGATACATGACGCATATGTTGGAGGTTCTTCATATAAATTTTGCATAAACATATATGTTAAATAACCGTGACTTGTCTATTGGAAGGGACTTTATATTTGACTGAAACAAAGACTCTGGATAAATATGACAAACATATGAAAGAGGGAGTATGGATAAATGTGAGAGGAGTTTTTAAAAAATGTCACTTATGTGTGAATGATTTAGAATAAATATGACATATGAAAGAGAGACTTTTGATAAATGGGACTCGGTGGGGGGGGGGGGGGGGGTGTTGGATAAATGATGCATATGTTGAAGGTACTTGTTATAAATGTTAAATAAACATGTATGTTGGATAACCGTAACTTGTCAATTGGTAAGGACTTCTAGTTGAATTTTCGAGTGGGAGGGATTTTTTACATACCGAGACGTGTACCGTGCTTCTTCAATTTCAAATGAATGAGGAAAAAAAACTAATTGTGAAAAGACATTTGAATAGTCATTACATGACTCATCTCATAGCTTGTTTTGTTAAATAAATATATGCATGTACTCAATTACTACCTGTGTTATACTGCATTTCAGTGTTCAAATATAAATAAGTATGCATTCTGAGTAATTTTTATTTGTATTTTTTTTTAGTTTCTTTCGTTGGAGATACTTTTCATGTTTGTTTGATTCCTTAGAGTTGTTTTACTTGCACTCCAATAGAACACATTAAATTTGTGCCTTAGGGACACTGTATATTGAATATGTTGAAAGGTATTAACAACAAAAGCATACTAATGCATTAAATTTGACAATCTTACGTACATGCATATCACAAGTGTGAATAAAACCTTTTGATATAATTTTTTCTGTTGTTTGTTATTCATACATGTAAATGGATAACTTTTACAATGTCCTATTGAGAAATCTAAGAATATATTCAATTAAATCTGCATCAAAGCATTTAGTAATAACTATGGCTAGATTTTTTTTTCTTCTGAACATCACCATGCCAGAACTATGAAAAAAAATGATACTTGTTACTGATTGATATGTATGAAGCAAAGGAGATAACGAACAGTATTCAATCTCAAAGTCCATTAAACAATACAAAACAGGAGCAGAGCAAACACGGACCTCCGAAACATCATAGGTGGGATCAGGTCCATGGAGGAGTGATCATCCCCTGCCGACTGGTCACACCCGCCGTGTGTTCCTCGTTATGATCAGGAAATAACGGAAAAAATCCGTCGACAATTCATATAAATAATGGACTAACAATTGGTATGAAAAACGTCAGTCAGCATTTGACTCATTGATACATTGTATTTGTTGACAAAATTATTCACAATCAATGTGTAAAAATGGCCTAAAAGGGGGGATTTTATGCAATATATGGAATGTATCAGTAAAAAATAAAATGGAATAGTAGAAAATTTGCAGTGAATTGATTAGAATATTCTTATCATTACATTACACCAAGATGTAGTAAATGAAGATATTGTTTAAGGAATCACTGTCTGGTAAACAGAGAATGCCAGGGCATCAACGATTGGAAACTTGGGATTATTAAGAAATAGTAAATTTTGGTGGGGCCATAATGTAGAAATAGTAAATTTGGGTGGGGCTGTAATGTAGATTCAAGCAGGCTAAAATCATGAACCCGGGGTTATTGTGGTGTCTCACCTGGTGATCAAAGTTTCACATGGGTATATGCATTTATATATAGAAAATTACATGTATAACAGTTTGATTTCATACTCTATTGTATTACATGCGAACTACACTGTATTTCTACAACTATTGAGGCACATTATTAAGAAATGAGTTTTTCAAATAAAGATATAAATGCACTGTGAAATCGTTTCAATTCAATTTTAAGCAATTTTTTTTGGTATCGCAACAAGGATCTTTTATTTGCAAATCTTTCGTTTAGACTCTCATGCAACTTTCACACTTTATTATCTGCGGTTTTTCAATCGATCATGACAAAGAATTTACAATCCACGATTATGACCGGTTAACTGGGAATGTTTCTCCTTAAAGGACGTCAAACCTACCTGTGTTTCCAGTTAGCCTTGTTTTCTCTGCTCACAGTATGTTTTGTTTTGTCCCCCTATGAATACGACCGGTACATATACTATTTGTGATGTTCGTCTTCCATCCTTCTGTTCTTAAGCTCAAAGCTCAGTTTGAAAAAAAAAACTTCAATATATTTTATCAAACTTCACAAGCTGATATATATTGATTAGAACTATGCATCTGCTTCAACATTTTTTTTACCTTGACCTTTCCTTTGACCTCTTGACCTCGCTTTTCTAGATATAAGTGCTTTGCTCAGTTTTAAAGATTCCATTCAAGATTGTGTTATCAAACTCTTATGCTGATACATACTAAAGATACCTATTCAAATACATCATTTTTTACCCCGACTTTTCCTTTGAGCTTGACCTTATTTTTCTTGAATAAGTGTTTAGCTCAAATTTTAAGAAACCATCCAAGAAATTTTATCAAACTTCATTATCTGAAAAATACTGATGAGAGCTTTTCAACTGCATCAACATTTTACCTTGACCTTTAATTTGACCTTGACCTCACATTTCCTAAACAGTGTCAAACTTCAAGGCTTTTTCTCGATTTTGATATTTTACATGCCAGGGTACGTCAGAACCGGTGCCATTATGAAAACTTGAAAATTTGACGGTCCCCAACCAAAATTTATGTTCAATAGTTTCGAGCCTGATTAAATTCCGAAGTTTCAATTTATGAACAGCTCAGTCCAAATTTCAATACAGTTCTTGCAACATTTTAAAATGTACAAAATGAAAAAAAATTCGATGGTCTGAATAAACACATTTAAACGTCAACGGAATGTTGCCCCGTGAGGATCCGGGTTAGAATATGTCTTCAGTACCCCCTTGCTTGTCGTAAAAGACGACTAAATGGGGCGGTCCTCTGTATAAACCGAAGCCCCGTGTCACAGCAGGTGTGATACGATAAAGATCCCTCCCTGCTCAAAGGCTCTGAGTGCCGAGCATAAGCCTAAATCTGCATCCCTTCACCGGCAATGGTGACTTCTCCATATCAGTGAAATATTCTGAAGAGGGACGTTAAACAGTATACGATCAATCAATCAGTCAACGGACTGTTGAATAAAACAAAAAGAATCAATAAAAATGATGATGTTGAGTACCTAGAACACTGTACCATTGATAAGTTGTGAATTAAGTATTAAATTTGGATCGACAGTTTCCAAAAATCAACCCGAAAATGACGCATCTAACTGGAGACGGAAAATTTCCACCGCCGGTTCTGACTTCCTGACGCATAACATGTCAAATTCGTGAAGAAGCGCTAAAAATGTCAGATTTTTCAGACTAATCACTGAAGAGTAAATAATGAATCATATGTTGTTTCTATCTTAATATTTTATTTATTCTGTTACATAAATACTCTTGTACATAACGCTGTAACATGCGATGCTTCAATATTTAGCACACAAGATATCTATAAAAATTCTATTTTTCTATAAAAGTTATGATAAAATTTCGAAAATTATGAAATAAGTGGCCTTAGGGTCAGTGGTTCCTGTGGTATGGGGTGCACAACTGGTTATAAGTTGGAAGAGCATTTTTTCTTTGTTACTCTGATCTACCTCTAGGTATCACGTAACTAGAGTAAGTAAGCTAAGTATATAATTATGATAAGCAATGGTGCCTCTTTTAAAATTGTGAATTTCATGGCCTCTGGTTTAAAACATGAACCGAATTCAATTGTGCGAAAGTTGTTACATGATACTCAGGTGACCTATAAGGCACGTGGGCCTCTTGTTACATTTGTTAATGATTCTGCGTTTAGCGAGGGCAGAGAAACATGAAGAAGAGTATATATATTTTTTTGAAATGGCCAGATCAATCAACGATGGGAGCTCCCTGGATTTCCTATTTTTCATATCTATTTTCATCTACTGTATGATCCTAGCGGATTTTTTTCTTAATATTTTAAAACATGTAAATTGATTTAATTTTATATCTTATTTAATTACTTGTCTTTATATCTGTTGATTAACTATAGTTTCATTTTTATATCTATATATTTTATTTTAAAATATCCGTGTAGTTTTTATGATTTCACAGAAATCAAAAAAATGGGGGTGGGACGTTCATATTTAACGTCGGGATCGATATTTTGCATTGTTTACACAATGCTTCATGTTACCAGAGACGTATAATAGAGGGACCGCTGACTCATTCATTCATTCATACTTTATTTCCCTCATTAGAGGATTATGCAAATACATGAATCCAAATATATATAAACATGAACAGATACCAAGCAAAGTTAACATATAAACAATGAAGACAATGCATGCAAATAAATGTCAAAACTAGAAAAATGAAGAGGAAATAGAAAAAAATGTGAAAAATTACAAGTTGTCCAAAAAAACAAAACAAACAAACAACAAACAACAAT